TATAAACTCAAACCGGTTTCATAGCTGGACCACCCACACCACGCTGAGAATAGTCGTTTTGAAACTCAAATATCAAAAATAATACTTAATTCGCAAGTAATGCCACACTAAAAACGCCATCAGTTGAAAAGAGCGACTAATGAACCATTAGTTACCAGTTTTAAAATATCTGACGATGTAAATCAATTAAAATATCACAATAATCGCGGATCGACTCGGCACACACCAGGTTAGCTCGATATCTCTCTTACGTATGAAATCGTTTGTCGCATGTCATATAATATTGATAACTTACAATATCTTCATATCGTTGTTCTACTTTTCTATTTTTGTAAAAATAGGTTGTATTTTTTGAAAAGTTTGGTTTACTGTTTTTTAATAAAATTGATATTGTATTGTGTTGTTAATGCCGTGTTGCACATTCGTATACCTATACTTACAGACATATAATTTATTTCAACCTTATTAAGATCGGCATCTGATCAAATAGGAGGTGCACAGTCAGCGATTGTGTAGAATCGAACTCGCCCGTTACTCGCTTCGCTCGCTCGACTCGCAAACTCAGACTCGTTCGATAAAAAACTGCTTTGCTGAATTGGTACATAAATATCTATTATTGAAACAATTTTTTCAAAAAACGTCATTTTATACTCCTGCTTTAATTATTAAAAGAAAAATAACTCAATAATTTCATATGAATTGCTTTAATTTAAATTTAAATTACTCGTTTAATTTAAATTTAAATTAAAGCAATTCATATAAAATTATTCTTTTAACCAAAAAATGTTTCGTATAATAGCAAACTCCTGATTCAAAGTAAATGACAGGCGATATCGTGAGTGAAGAGCTTGGAGCCGCAACAGTGAGGAGAACAAGACTCGATTTGGGCTATAGCGTCATAATAAAGATGTATGTCATGATAAAGAAGAAGAAGATGAGTTTAAAATTAAACATTTATTAATTTAAATTTATATCCAACAATTCTTTTAATATTAAATTTTTAAATGGTGATTAAAATTTCTTTTTTGAAATCAAAGTAGAAATTATTCTAAACCAAGCATAACATTTTCTAAGATCCTGCAAAAAAATTATGTTAATTTTTCTCCAAATATTTTTTTATATTATTTTACCCCAGTCATTGAAGGATAAGACACAACACCCAACATCCCGAATTTGATGTTAAAAGTGAGTTGACTTAAACACAAGAAAACCAAAACGTCCTTTTTAAGTTTAACATCCGCATCATACCAATTCATGTCATAAATAGCCTCAGTTAAAGAAACGTTCTAAAATTAAAAAGATTAATTTCTTATCTCGTAGTATATTTAATTATTTACCGCATCAATAATACGTTGTCCAATTGAATTAAATATCATCAAAGATAATAAGCATGAGATCATGACACAAAAAACAAATATATCGAATCGCTTAAAAATATGATACAAATGATAAAAAATTTAAATAACACAATTAAATACTAACCAAAGCAAACGCTGAAGCAAGTAAAATAATGAACCCAACACTACAAATTCGTTGTAGCACAATTAGTTTTCCATAAACTTTATAAACAAAATTAAACAATCTAAAAATTTCTTGATGATACTGCAAAACTCGGCGCAGTTGTACGTTTTCTTTATCCCCAATTTTAAATTTAATTTGATTTATTAACAAAGTAATATGTTTTAAACGAATTATAATCAATTCAAACGAGTACGCAAACAAAGCTATCGCCCCTATAATCAAATTCCAAACTGCAACGAAGAAAAATATTTCGCGTACAACCAAAAATCCTTCAAACCACGGTTGGAGTTTATACGGGATATAATATCCCAAATATAAATAACAGGTGTTTCGAGTGTTATTAAAACATTTTTTTCTTAACAACATTCCGTTCCATAAAATTGTAAATGAGTACGGTGTGAGATAATAAACATATTTGAAACCGTATTTAACGAAATTATCGATAAAACGAACCTGGGTTGGAACTCCAAATCGATTAAAATCGCTTAAATCATTCATTAGGTTTATCATTTTGCCCCGTTTGTTACTAATTAATAAAGTTACCAGTACCAAATTTGTGTACATTATAAAGGCGAACACGTCGAACAAATATGAATAAAGATCTGTATGAGTATCTTAAAAAAATATTATTACAATTAAGTCTAGATTTTTTTTATCGAAGACTTACCCATAAATTTTTGTATGATGGGATAAATAATCCAGATTAAAGTTAAAATAATATTTAATATGATCCTGTTTTTATAAACTGGTTGAAGTGGAGATGCGTGAATTTGATAAAAAAAATGTTCCACTTTTAAAAAACCTAAGGTTTCAACCCACATCTTGTTTAAACTGTGCTTAAAAGCAAAATGAATGTGAATCAAACGATCGAGTTGTTTTTAAAGAAATTGTCCTTAATGGAATGTGATCTGATGATGGTGAATTAAAAATTAAGAACGATTAAATCGATTTTTATGAGGTACACTTTAATGATTCGAAATAAAAAAATACTATATATACCTACATATAACCATTTACTAACAGACTTTTGATTTTATTTATTAATGTGCAAACCAAAAAAATTACTATATCGTAATTAACGAAAATTAAATGTTTACATTTGAAATAATAAAAATAGATTAAATTTTCATTAAAGTGCACTTTATTTCACATTGATATCTTAACTAGTACTTGAAATACGAATTTTTTTATTTTACGCCACACTAATTCATGTTGCGGGAAAAATTTTATTCAAAGCATCATAACCACGGGATTTAGAAAATCAAAATAATTATTTTTGGTATACCAAAACTAGATTAAATTTGCGTTAAAATATCTCGTTGTGATACTTCTGTTAGTTTTTAAGATATTGATATTTTACAATAATAAATATAGATCAAATTTGCTTTACAATGCACTTTATTCCACTTTTATAGGTATCTAAATCAGTTCTTGAGATACGAATTTTTTTATTTTACATCACCTATTAACCGATTGAATTTGCGTTAAAATGCTGTTAGTTTTTAAGATAATATATGATTTTTTATTGTTTGGTCATTTTTGGTATAATGTCGATTATTGTCAAACACACAAAATTGTAGTCAAAGCATCATAACGACGAAATGTATTGCAGTTAAAAAATTATACAATGCTCACTAAAAGTATCTTGGAGATACGACTTTTTTATGTTAACATTTAACTTTACAACTATAACTTGTTAGGTAGTGTTTAACAGATTATTTCGTCCTAAATTTTATGAAAAAACTCAAACCATTGTATGCTCTTAAACTAGATACTTTAAGCATTAATTTAGTGTAAATCTTATTTGTTAATTCCTATAATTAAGAGGGATACGATTTTTTAAACTATTCCATTTTTAAAAGAGTGTTGAAACGGAACGTTGTTTGGTAATGTTACAATTTTTTTCTATAATGTATAATTAATTAAATTAATAATTACCTAGAATAACAGCAGCCGAAGAATAAGATAAATAATAGCAGCTGTTAACTCGGAAATATAAGCAGCAACGCAAAATCATTTCGTTGTTGTAGGAACCGGAATCACACTATACAACACCAGCACTTTCTTACATTCCACTTCTTCATTTAAAAATTCCTCCGGGCTCATCTTGACATTATAAAACAAAGGCGTCCCCGTCGTTATAATTGTCGTCATTAAAACGCATCCAACCTAACATATCGATACCATCTCGATTTTTCTCACCCCCATTTCGATATCTTTCATAAATTGTCCCCCAAACGATGTTAAAAAGTCGTATTCGTAACGAATGTCTTCCTTCGTTACGACGGCTTCTTATGAGGTTAACTTTCTAGTAATTCCATCACAAACCGAACGATTTTACTATCGTTACTAAATGGACGGGAAAAAAGGTTAATTGGTCCAAGATTTCTTCGTAGACTCTTAAAATATTTTTTAACTCCATCGCTTCTAACACAAATAGTTGTAGACGGTGAAATATTATTATTAAGTTGTAGATTAAATAGTAAATTTTTGGGGATTCGGTGTTGAAGAAACTAAAAATTTCCCCAAGTGTAAATAGTGGTAAAATCGTTTCTGTTAAATTATTTTATTTAATTAAGTAATGATTACCTTAGTGATAGTAATATAGTTATTAGAAATATAATAGTTATTTATATTACAAGTGGGCTAGAAACATAATTACAGTACGAGTGTGGAGAATTGCACGACGAGGTCGTAGACCGAGTCGTGTAATCATACGAGTACTATAATTAGTAAAAAAATCTTAGTAGGCTTTGCAATTATATAGCATAAGTCACCAAAATGTCAAAATTGGGCAATGTTTCTTAATAAAATCGACTATATCGTAAGTACTAGAACTGATGGAGAAAGACGTTATGAATAAAAATATTCCTAATGCATCAATAAATCATAATCCATAATTATTTCATATTTCTCTATCACTATAATATAAAATAATTATGGATTATGATTTCTTGATGCATTAGTAACATTTTCTATTCAAAACGTCTTTCTCCATAACTGCATTGTAACTTTTAACAGCGTATTCCTTTAAATCTACATCTTTGGTTATTACACCGTAAAATATTTCCTTATCAGCTTTATCTAGCTTTCCTTCTAGTTCGATACATTTGCTGTTATCAAATGTCCATTTTCTGACTGTAAATTGCCGCACAGTTTGAATTGATGTTTTTGAATGGTAACCAAGCTAAAATTTGAAAACGTTAAACAAAATTAATAGGAAATCGACCAAGAATGCTGGAATTAATTGAAAGATAAAGGATACAGTCATAAATATATAATAAGATTTTGTAATGTATACTTCAGGGTACCAAAGAGCATGTTTGAATGGTTCTTTACGCGTTATTGCCATAAAAACATCAATTATATAACGCCAAGTGTATGGAAATCTATTAGTTATGTTTATTGTAGGCGTTGATAAGTAACTGAAAGAGTTGAAATAAATTTTAATTTTATCTGATTATTAAAGAAATATTTACTTGGTCTTTGCTCTTTCGTATCCACAACATATCACGTTATTTATAGCGAAATCTACGGGAATAACTTCCGGTACACTATCGCCATCCACTATACGTGATTTCAAAATCCCTTTTCTACCCACTATAAACATTCCCATGGGGCCATAAAATTATCAACCCAACCAGGCGTTGGTTCAAAAAAAGAAGGAAGAAGTAAAAAACAATAATTTTCCTTCTGCAATTATTTGAAACGTACCCATAGGTCTTGTTATAATTAATGGTATTTTATCACCCATATCAACGGCTATCATTTCAGCAAGTCGTTTAGTGTACGTATAAGTATTTGGAGGAGGACCTAATAACCTTTTAGTAATAGCATTTAAGCACTTTTCATCCATCCACTCCACCATATCAATAATATTGAATGGATCAACATCAATTGGATACACTTTCTAGTCCATATTCTCAATTTCAACGTTGCAATAAGCAGTGGATAAATGAACAGCCTGGAAGACCATTTTTAACTAGTATTTAACATAAAAAGCCAAAGCATGGTTGGAAGCGACGGAGACGGTGAGGAAGAAGCTATGGAAGCTATGGTATCACAGAACAGATGACAGAGAGAGTGAAGGAGGTGTACAAGGAGACGATAGCCAAGGTTAAAGTGGGGGAAAAGATAAGTGAGGTATTCTGGACGACGAAGGGATTGAGACCTTCTTAGTCCCACACTATTTGCGATGTATACGACGAACTTGGAAGAGAGACTTGATAGGGGGCAGATGGGTGGGGTGGTGATAGGAGGAACGAAGGTTCACGCGTTGGCGTGATGATTTGGTGGTTGTGGCAAGAGAGGCGTGGAGATGATAAGGTTTCTGGAGAGATATTTTAGGGCGAAGGGGGTAAATGTCGAGAAGACAAAGATCATGAAGTTCTGGGGAGAGAAGAAAGAGGGAAACATGGAGGTGGCAGGGAGGAGAGATAGAGGAAGTGAAGGAGGAGAGTGGGATATTCACTAACTGGGATCGACATCAGAAGAAAATGACTAGAAAGTGAGATTCTAGACTTTTCACTAGAAAATAAAATGCGCAGAATACCACTGTAGCTAAAGTAAAAGCATTTATTGGTATTTTAATAATGAGATCTTAGTTTACTGGCCATATGGAATACCGATGACACTGGTATTGAATTTGTTCGGTTATGCATGAGCTGTAATTTGTTCTACTGGCTCTGGAATTGCTCAATAATTATTCCCTTAGCCTTGTTGGTACTTTTAAAAAACGTTCTACCAAGCAGACATCGCCAAGCAAAAAGCAGTCTATTTGGTTATAAATACAAAATGTACCAAAGAAGTCTAAATCGGTTGTACTTGTTTTGACTTTTCATGATAACATTTTACACCATCATCAAAGGTGGCGTAGATGTTGTAGACCAGCTTTCTGCCACATACACCTATTCAAGAAGAACAAAGAGGTGGCCATTGACCTATAATATAATATAATACTTTTTGCCTTATTAAATATTGCAGGCATAAACGCATTTGTAATTTATAATTGGACCGCGTTATACAACACTTGACTAAGCGGCATTTTATCGTTTTTAGAGATTTTCAAGCTGTCTGGTAGGTAAATGTGTAACTTATCTTAAAAAAATTGCAATATATCGAAAGACCTAAAATACCATTTGTTTTAAAGGATAAACCTAAGCGACAATCACGTTATACGATTTTAAGTCCGATTTGCATCATATGTCTAAGAACCGACTTAGATACGACACTTAGATACACCAAGAAATTCTACAATAGCAAAATAGATCAACCTACATTTTCGGACCAGGTGTAGTTTTGTAGATGTTAGAATAAAATTAAAAGTTTAAGTCTTTTATTATATGTAGAATTTAAGTCTAACTTGAACTAATACTAGACCTAGAACTAGAAATATTCGGGTTTAGCCGTGCGTCTGAAGATCAAGGACTGACGGAGAAAGACGTTATGAATGAAAAATTTTCCTAATGCATCAACAAACCATAATTCATAATTATTTCATATTTATCTATCACCAGCTTGTAATAATATAGCATAAATCACCAAAATGTTAAAATTGGAATATATTTCTTAATAAAATCAAATACAACATATGTACTAAAACTGATGGAGAAAACCGTTAGGAATAGAAAATGTTTCTAATGCATCAAGAAATCATAGTCCATAATTGTTTTATATTTATCTATCACCAGCTTGTAATGATATAGCACAAATCACCAAAATGTCAAAATTGGACGATGTTTCTTAATAAAATCAACTACAACGTATGTACTAAAACTGATGGAGAAAGACGTTATGAATAAAAAACGTTGCTAATGCATCATTAAATCATAATCCATAATTATTTCATATTTATCTATTACTAGCTTGTAATGATGTAGCATAAATCACCAAAATGTCAAAATTGGACGATGTTTCTTAATAAAATCAACTATAACGCATGTACTAAAACTGATGGAGAAAGACGTTATGAATAAAAAACGTTGCTAATGCATCATTAAATCATAATCCATAATTATTTCATATTTATCTATTACTAGCTTGTAATGATGTAGCATCAATCTCAAAAGTGTTAAAATTGGACGATGTTTCTTAATAAAATCAACTACAACGTATGTACTAAAACTGATGGAGAAAGACGTGTTGAATAGAAAATGTTTCTAATGCATCAAGAAATTATAATCCGTAATTATTTTATATTTATCTATCACCAGCTTGTAATGATATAGCATAAATCACTAAAATGTCAAAATTGGACGATGTTTCTTAATAAAATCAACTACAACGTATGTACTAAAACTGATAGAGAAAGACATTTTGAATAGAAAATGTTGCTAATGCATCAAGAAATCAGAATCCATAATTATATTATATTTATCTATCACCAGCTTGTAATGATGTAGCATATATCACCAAAATGTCAAAATTGGACGATTCTTTCTGTGACTATGACTATATATACAGGTGTCCTATGAAAGCGACAAAGTACATAAATGACAAATGAGCCGAGATAAAAACTTTTCTTTAGATAGAAGTTGTAGGAGTCTAATAACACTTCCGTAAAAATACCGAATATATTTTTATACATACAGGATGTTTCATATCGACGTATCAAAATAAACGTTGTTATTTTAATTGCAATGATATAGTTTTTATTACCTATTTTGATTCTACACACAAAAGACCGGCGAGACGATAGCAACAAACCGCCCAGCAACAAACTTTTTCCTTTATATTTCCACCTACTTCTAGGGCCCATATCTTCGTTATCTAGAAAGATAGCGAAAAACTAAGCACACGGTTGGATAGCTTGGTCTTTTCTCTCTTTGTAATTTTCGTTT